CAATTTGCAGGTTTTATGGGGAACAGAGACAGAAGAATTTTCTAGTCCGGTTCAGATAAAGAACAGGCTGAATAAAACCACCCAGAATAAAACAAATAATACTAACAGATAAAGGTTCATCAGCATTTAGTGTCAGCACGTACACAAATCCTGAGAGAGTAAATGGCATATATGTAATAGCCATGCTCACAGTAGTTATTATAATGACATGTAATGCTCTTTTCTTCATGGGGTTTTCCTCCTCTCTCTCTCTCCCTCTCTGTCCAGGTCCTGACTGCTTCAGAGCTCTGAGAACAGCCACAAGACAAAACATCTGGATGGAGAAGAAGAGGAGGAACTCAAACGAGTTAATAAATCTATAAATATAAAAGTGAAAGACTAAAGTAAACAAGCAGCACAAACAGGATCCAAGAGTGATTATCCAGGCCACGGTGCAGCAGATCACTCTATATCTGAGAGGTTTGAACTTCAGAAAGGTTACAGGATGAACCACTGCCAGGTAACGCTCAACACACACCAGACACTGAAACAGAGGACGGCCAGTTATGGCAGATCCTACTAAAAAATGTGTTACGTTTGTTAGACTTGAAAGCCAAGGGAAATAAGTAAGTGCAGAGAACAAAGAGTTCAGACAGTTAACAATCTCACAAAAAGAGAGATTGAGGTTGAAGAATCCTGATGCGACTTCACTTCCTGTTCCTGTGATGATGAGCCATATAACATATGTGTGAGTAGGAAGACCAAACAGGAAATTGATGCTGTGTACAATATGCCTCGCATTGGTCAGTAGCTCACTGGACTGGAGGACGGAGTTTGTAGAAACAGCAGATGTGAAGTTCACTGTGAAGTTATTCATTTTCTTTATGTCTTCTCTGCGCAGAAAATCACCAAACAAATGCTTAATTTCTAGATCAAGATCTATAGGGACAAAAAGAATGGGGGTGTTATGTAAAATTAACAATTTGGTTTAGGGTCAGCCAGTTGAGGAGAATATGTGTTGTTTATGATATGGGGATGTAGGGCCATGATCTGGGAGACCGTTTAGAAAATTACCTAATGGACTTTTTTTGTGATCTTCCATTGAGAATTTGTCTCAAACCGAACAGTAATCAAAAGACGCTTCAGTAACCAATTTAAAGATGCCTTATGCCTCTATCTCCATGATGCCATTTCTAAATTTGTTTCACAAATTAGTATTGTTATTTCTAATAGTATTATTATTATTTATAGTATTATTGTCATCAAAAGCAACTTAATAGGCTTAAACTTTACCTGTTTGGTCCAGAACAGCCCACAAACGTTAAGTTTTCCTTTTTTTAATGATCATTTTAAGTCAAATTTTCAAAATGTGTTTCGGCCAACGTCTATATTGTCTAAAAAAAGTTTAACTCCGCTGCTGTACACTAAACAGGGTGTATCCAACTCTCATTAAAGCTGGTGGTAGCGTGTGAAAATGTAAGCATTTATTGATTTCAATACTCCAAAAGCATTTTTTTTCTTACTATCTCACTCCCCTCCCAACCCTCCCCCATGCCCAAGGCACGACCACGTCATAATCCGTCCCTGATGATTGATTGTCATCTAGATTAAGAGCAGTTTTTATTTTCTACATACCTGAGTGAACTTACCATTTAAATGACAAAATCATCTGGGAAAATGTCGACTTTGCTGGACCTGTCTGTCCCTTGTCAAGGCTTCCCTGCATTAATGTGTAAAAAGTAATGGCACAACAGAAATTCTTAATGGCTTGTATAAAATTCACAAATATCTCAAAGCATTAAAATGCTCTTTAGCTGCTGACACATTTGAAATGAACAAAGTAAATAGCATGGGCCACAGTTCATTCAAGCAACTGCTTACGACAAATTAAAAAAAAAAATAAACCATAATTTTATAAATTTTAGAACTAAAAAAACTAGCCTAATTTAGACCAAGTGAATCGAAATAAACACACGTCAACAAAAGTACATTTTGAAAGAAGGTTTTCAATTCATGTCTGTCCAAATAAAAACAACACAAACAAATATTGAGATTCTATAAAAACAACCACTTTTGCATTCATATAGAAAATATAGAGTTAAATGCTTATCACCTGAAGAGTGAATGTCTAGTCTCTCTGGATGTGTAAAAATCTCTGTGCTGTGTTTTGTAGACTGACTTCACAGCTGTCACAGATTGATATATACATATGCAAATATATAAAGTAAACAATATAAGGTTCAAAAAGACACTATTTGACTAAACTGAATTCGAATTATTCAACATTTAACTAACTGACACTTCAGTACAGGATGACAACAACAATCTTATTTCTAAGGGTAGAAACATTTGGGGGTGCTTACACCAACATGATCACATGACAAACAGGCAATCACAAGACAAAACACAGAAACATGACGTGACCAAGACAAGAACAAATTGTGACACATCTTTAACCTCCAGGTAAGCTCAATCTATGATTGTAATGGGAATGTTGTAGAATGATTTAAAGGTTTAACAACACAACAGAATTCAAGCTTGTCCTGAAAAGCACACACAAACAAACATCATTGCAGTGGACGACATGGTGGAGATCCAAAAAATGCCAGTGCACACCTCTCTAAAGACTGGTTCCCCTGCATGAGGAGGATACTATTTGCTGCTAGATCCATATTTGGCAAGTTAAAAAAAGAGATTTTTATACGGTTATGGTCCTGATATTTAAAATATGATAAAATGATCCTCCAGGCTTGGTTCAATAGACTGAAACAGGTTAATACAATGGAAAGAATAGAAAGAATAAATGCATTCATTTCAATAAATAAAGATGGATATTTTTCTGCAAAGATGGAAAAATATTATACTAAGATGGGACAGACTATATGACAACTGTATAAGCGAGGTGATTAAATGAATCATCATTATTTAAGTATTAAATTACAGTTATCTAATGTAACGTTTAGAAAGTAAAGTAAGCACCTGTATTCAGTGAAATATCACAATTGCATGTCTTATGAGGAACAGAGGCAGTTTTCCAGTCCGGTGAAGATAAAGAACAGGCTGAACGAAACCAGCCAGCATATAACATACCAAACCAGGGAGCCAATATCCATCATTATTCTGTTGTGTAAGAATAATATAGAATCCTGTGACAGTAAATGGGACATATGTAAAAGACATGCTCACAGTAGTTATTAGAATGAGATAAAACGCTCTTCTCTTCTTGTGGTTTTCCTCCTTTCTCTCTCTCCCTCTCTCTCCTGGTCCTGACTGCTTCAGAGCTCTGAGAACAGCCACAAGACAAAATAACTGGATGGAGAAGAAGAGGAGGAACTGTGTTGAGAAGAACCATAAGTGTGTATGAAAGTTTTGTGAGATTATAATAAATAAACTATAGAAACAGGAGCCGAGAATAATGATCCAGACAATAGTGCAGCAGATCACTCTATGTCTGAGAGGTTTGTACTTCAGAAAGGTTACAGGATGAACCACTGCCAGGTAACGCTCAACACAGATCAGACAATGAAACAGAGGACGACCAGTGAGAATTAGTCCTTGTAGAAACAACGGTATCAATGAGAGACTTGAAAAGCACTTTGACAGTATAGAGAGCAAACCATTCAGACAGGTACCAATCTCACAAGTGGAGAGATTGAGGTTAAAGAACTCTGATGCAACTCCACTTCCTGTTCCTGTGATGATGAGCCATATAACATAGATGTTTGTAGGAAGACCAAACATGAAATTCATGCTGAGTATGCAGATTTCCACAAAGTCCATTGGCCTAATAGAGTGAATTGTGGAGTTTGTTGATGTTTCAGGTGTGGTGAAGTTCACTGTAGAATTATTCATCTCCTCTGTTGTCTTCTCAGTTCAGCAGCTCACAAACCAAGCTGTAGGCTATTACAACTGTTATATTTTTAAGGAGAAATATAATTAACCAGTTAAGTCAATACGGTAAAAAAAAAAAATGCAGTTTAACATATTATGATTTTGTAATGTAGAGTTCACAATTTAAATTCAAATAACAAGAACATCATTATTATATGACTTCAAAATATGGTTGTATGTATTCACTAGTATTTATGCTTAGCCTAAATTATTAAACATATCATTTTCTTTAATATGTTTAATATGTCTTTAATATGTCTTTAATATTTTACCAATTCTAGCTAAAACATTAAACACATCACAAAACATTATTTTATAAACAGCTCTGAGGTTAAAACAAGAAATCACAAGTTTTCAGTCACCTGAAGAGTGAATGTCCAGTCTCTCTGGATGTGTATAGACTTCTGTGCTGTGTTTTGGAGACAAGAGGAATTCCATCTGCCTCACGGCACATTAAACACAAGATATGCAAATTTTAGACAGAGCATTTCAGTAATGAAAAATAAAAGTGTGTTGTCAAGTATACAGCAATTTTTGGTTTGGACAACTGGTTTATTTTTAAGACAAAGCAACATTCATGGGCCAAATATCTTTTTTTTTTTTTTTTTCAAAGATTTATATGAAGGCATTTGAAAAAGTGTAATATCTCAGATAATAAAGCTTTTCTAGCATGTCAACATCATAGGCGACCACAAGATTTATCATCTGACTATCAACTTTAATTTTGAGGCTGAAATTTTTTTTATAATATTTTATTTTGACAGCCAGCCTAAAACATAATCAATCTATCTATCTATCTATCTATCTATCTATCTATCTATCTATCTATCTATCTATCTATCTATCTATCTATCTATCTATCTATCTATCTATCTATCTATCTATCTATCTATCTCAATATGTAAAAATTAGACACTAAATCAATGATAAATCATGAAGTTTAATAGAAAACTTCAACGTGCAATCAATTATAAACATGCAATCAATTATATACAAACAAAATGCTTTACCAACTAAAAAAAATGCTAAAACCTAAAATGACTAAATTTTGTATATTACTAAATTTAGATAATTAATAAAATTTTAAATTAAAGTTATAATACAACACTTAGAAAGTAAAGTAACTGGATTTAGTGAAAAAAATATACAATTGCAGGTCTTTTGAGGAACAGAGGTAGTTTTCCAGTCCGGTGAAGATAAAGAACAGGATGAACGAAACCACCCAGCATATAACATACCAACCCAGGGAGCCAATATCCATCATTATTCTGTTGAGTAAGAATAATATAGAATCCTGTGACAGTAAATGGGACATATGTGATAGCAAGGCTAACAGTAGTTATTAGAATGAGATAAAACGCTCTTCTCTTCATGTGGTTTTCCTCCCCTCTCTCTCTCCCTCTCTCTCCTGGTCCTGACTGCTTCAGAGCTCTGAGAACAGCCACAAGACAAAACAACTGGATGGAGAAGAAGAGGAGGAACACCAGTGAGAAGAACCATGTATGCACAGTAATGTTTTGTGACATTGCAATAAATAAACAATAGAAACAGGAGCTAAGAATAATGATCCAGACAACAGTACAGCAGATCACTCTATATCTGAGAGGTTTGAACTTCAGAAAGGTTACAGGATGAACCACTGCCAGGTAACGCTCAACACACATCAGACACTGAAACAGAGGACGACCAGTGAGAATTAGTCCTTGTAGAAACACCATTAAAAGTGAGAGACTTGACAAGTAAACAGTCAGCGCAGAGACTAAACAATTCAGACAGTTTCCAGTCTCACACATAGAGAGATTGAGGAGGAAGAACTCTGATGCAACTCCACTTCCTGTTCCTGTGATGATGAGCCATATAACATAGGAGTGTGTAGGAAGACCAAACAGGAAATTAATGCTGTGTACGCAGGTTACCACCAAGTCTATTAGCCCAATGCTGGGCTGAGTTGTGGAGTTTGTAGATGTTTCAGTTGTGATGAAGTTCACTGTAGAATTATTCATCTCCTCTGTGTTCATCTTCTTATTTCAGCAGCTCACAAACCAAATTTAATATAGCAACTGGGATTTTTTATATGGAGACCTGTAAATGAACCAGTTAATTCAGACTGACCCAACAAGTTAAACATAACATTTAAATACATGATTTCAATATGCAACATAATAAACTTAAGTTGTATTAAACATTTCCTATGCATAACTCGTAACCAGACCACACCATTATTAAATTGTCTTCACAATATAGTTGCATGTATTCAGTATTTATGCTTAGCCTAAATTTATAAGCATGTCATTTCTCTCATACATTTCCTTTAAATGTTTCATTTTAGTTATAGCTAATCAGGTATAAAGAATAAATCAGTATAAACAACTGAATCAAAATGATGTTTCACCTGAAGAGTGAATGTCCAGCTTCTCTGGATGTCTATACATTTCTGTGCTGTGCTTTAGAGACAAGAATATGACCTTGATTTTAACTGGTAACACACAACATATGCAAATATTTAGACTGAACTTTTAAGGTTTATAAGAAATACAAATAAAAGTATTATGACAGGATGTCAAGTGTAAAGCAATTATATATATATTTTGCAACCTTCAGGTAACATGGAAAAGGTAACATGGGTCACTGGTGAAGTTTTATTGGATAAATAAAAGACCAACAACCACTTACAACAACAATTTCAGTCTCATTGTATTAGTATTCCTAGTTTGTTTGAAATCATTTGATCTTCGTACATTAATTTAGAAAATTGTGAATTTAAAATCATTTAAGACTTTAGTTTCTGTGGCGAAAATGTGTGGTTTGTAAATTGCTCGATAAATACAATGCGTGCTAGAGACACATTTCATGAGATCGGGTTGGTTAAGAATGCAATTTATCTTACTTTATTTTCATCTGACTTAACTGACATCCAGTGATTTACAATTAAATTGTGGACCAAGAAACATTGTTGTTGTTGTTGTTGTTTTTACAATATTAATCAACTTATCCTTAACTTTGATAGTGAGGCTATACATTCGTTCATGCAGTTCTTCAGTTTACTTCAATTACTTTTTTTTTTTTGGCAATGCTTAATTTTGACACTCCACTTTAGACATACTAACAATATACAGTATAACTTTGCAGCTACTTCAACAAACTCTCATTAGAGTATTAGTAGACTTTCAGCTTAATATTTGCTAACACTTTATTTTGTTGTTCCCCCTACAGACTTGGCAACTAAACACTTTAATGAGAGTTAGATGACATTTAGTTGACTACTAACCCTAATTTACTGATAGTAAGTATAATGTCTAAATTAAATCAAAATAAAGTGTAACCCCCCCCCCCCCCCTCTCCCCCCTATTTTGTATTCAACAGTGTTTATTCAGTAATCTTTTTACATTTGAAACTGGCCAGCACAGGTGCCACTCATTAAACACCTGACATGCAAAATTTTTAGACAAGAGCAATTTGTTTGTTTAAAAAAAAAAAAAAAAAAAAAAAAAAATCTGTGTTATGAATGTCAAGTTTAATGCAATAATCTTTGTGGGCAATCCTCAGTATGCAAAAGGCGTATTTACTTTACATTTTCCAAACATAAATAAAATAAATCAGACATAAAAAAATAAAAATAAAACAGGATTAATCAAATATCACATTCATGGGATTTAAACGTAGTGTAGCCTACATAATTTTTGGCCACTAGGGATCACTAATCTCTTACAATAACAAAGGCGTATATCGATGAAGCAAAGCATCAAATGGATTTATGGATCTTGCTTTCAAGCTGATGGATCCTTTATGGACGAGTGAATACAGTGATGTTTTTTAACATGACTGTGGTGTGAAACAGGGCGAGACGAATATGTTAAGTTGTGTGTGTGGATTGATGAATCACAATGAAACACTCATCAGCATTCATTAAAAACTACATAAAATAAATAAATAAATCGAGAACACAACATCCAGGGCATGTAGTTACAGAGAAAAAATGAAGAGTTCAGATGCAAAAGCCTCTAAATGCCATTTGAAATTTTCTTCTAAAATGACAATTTTTATCAAGCTTGTATATTTAAGTTCAGTAATTTCACTTAAATGACAATTAATAAGTAATCTTCATTGCCATTTAAGTGAAATTACTGAACTTAGATATACTAGCTTGATAAAAATTATCATTTTAGAAGAAAATTTCAAATGGCACTTAGAGGCTTTTGCATCTGAACTCTTCAAATATTAATTCCACATAGAAAATCCTTTTGATATTAATTAAAAGTAAATAATTCACAACTCAGTACAGCAAATATATTGCATCGTGCAAGTACTGCAAGTAATACAGTATTGAATGTCTTTATTTTCAGTATACAAATAAAGTAATCCCAAAGAACAAAGACAACTCTAATGAAAAGCGTATTACATAAAATATTGTGCAATTGCAAAATTAAAGTGAATGAGAGACTCATTCTGCCTCAGCATATGTCTGTGTTCCCCCTGTCTTTGTTCAATTGGTTCAGTCCTATTCTGGTTTTCCCGCTCCTCGTTTGTGTACATGTAGTATCACGTCCCTTTATCTTGTTTATCTTAAGCCCCGTGTTTCAGTTCAGTCCTTGTGAGTTTTTGATTTATTCAATCATACACAGACGGCGGTGTCCGCCATGCAAGGCGTCATCCAGCTCATCGGGAGCAGCTGGGTTTAGGTGTTTTGCTTATGGACACCTCGAAACTTGGTCAGATGAAACCAGACAATTTATTTTACTTATACAGTTTATTGAACAGTTGAATAATGATTTTTTTTTTTTGGCTGTTTCTGCAATGCTGGGTTTTTGGTTTGTTTCTCTTTTTTTTTTCCTTCTATTTTGGATTTCATCAAAATCATTAGTATTGAATCCTGTTTATTTGTTTATTCGTTATTTTACGTCAAAAGATTCAATTCATTTATTTTTTCCAACGCATTCTCACCCCAAGGCGTCACCTTTGACCATGCTTCAATATTTGACGTTTTAGGCGCCCTTTAGCGTCACTTACATGACGCGATCCTAGGGCGTCATCTAACTGACGCTAAAGGGCGCCTAAAGCGTCAGATATTGAAGCATGTCCAAATGCTTCCCAAGGCGTCAGTTAAGTGACGCCTTGGGGGTGAGAATGGGCTGTTTTTTCTTATTAACAATACATTTAATTTCCTTGTAATTAACATTTACCTTTGAGTCTAGTTGCTTTCTTTCTTTAGTGTCTGTTTTAAATTCCCTCTACTCCTGTGAGTCGAACCCATCTTCTGTAATCTGGTCCTGGACGTAAATAGATCACATGTACCCAAGTTATTGCGCCATAAAACGGGTAACTGCGGGTTAACACAAACTATGATAAAGAAAAACAAACAATATAAATCTGTTATGGCATGATGTCAAGTTTAATGTAATCTCTGTGACAATCCATATTATGAAAAACGAATGTAACCACTCATACTCTTACACAAAAGCAGAATAAACATGACTACAACATTAAAAAAGCTATAAGTCACAGGATGAACAGTGAATGACAGAGAGTCCCAAAACTGGAAATGTGGCAAAAAGCCACATCTGAAGTAATATGCCATTAAATAGGTGCATTTCCACATTGAAATAATGTAGTGCATTTGAAGAAAAAAAAAAAACAATGACAGATCATGGAGGTTCTGATGTGGCATTTTATTATAACCTAATTACATAATATTACATCATAAAACCTTTATTTAGAAAGGAAAATCAGCTTCAAGGACACAAAAGTGATTAAAAAAATTCAGAAGCAATAATAAAAGTTCTATATATAGTTGAGTAACTCAATTCCATAATGCATTACATTACAGGTCTTAAAAGAGTTTTCCAGTGCGGTGAAGATAAAGAACAGGCTGAACAAAACCAGACAGCACATAACAAACTAAACCAGGGAGCCAATATGCATTATTAAGCTTTTTTCTGGCAATGGTAAAAAACCCTGCAATACTATTAGGGACATATGTTATAGTAATGGTCACAGTAGTTATTAGAATGAGATGAAACGCTCTTCTCTTCATGTGGTTTTCCTCCTGTCTCTCTCTCCCTCTCTCTCCTGGTCCTGACTGCTTCAGAGCTCTGAGAACAGCCACAAGACAAAATAACTGGATGAAGAAGAAGAGGAGGTACTGCACTGACAAGAACCACATATGTACAGTGTTGTGTGGGTCTGTACTTCTAAACATGCAGCGCAAACAGGAGCCAAGAATAATTATCCAGGCCACAGTACAGCAGATCACTCTATATCTGAGAGGTTTGTACTTCAGAAAGGCTACAGGATGAACCACTGCCAGGTAACACTCAACACACATCAGACACTGAAACAGAGGACGACCAGTAGTGATTAGTCCTGCTAAAAATAGTTTAAACTTCATAATAAATGAAAACCACACTGACAGTACAAATGTCAAACAATTCACACAGAAACCAATCTCAGAAATAGAGAGATTGAGGATGAAGAACTCTGATGCAACTCCACTTCCAGCTCCTGTGATGATGAGCCATATCACATATGAGTGTGTAGGAAGACCAAACCCGAAACTGGAGCTGTAAATACAGAATTCCAGAATTTCCACAAACCCAGTGGAACGAGTTGTGGTGTTTGTAGATATTTCAGGTGTGGTGAAGTTCATTGTATAGTTGTTAATCTCCTCTGTGTTTGTCTTCTCCTTTCAGCTCACAAAAAAATAAATGAATTAAAACATGATTATGTGCTGTTATCCATGGAAAAAATAGAAGTGTACATGAGGCAGGTTATTCATTTATATTAAATTAAAATTAAAAACAAAAAGAAATATCAATAGAAAAACAATGTTAAATGACTTCAAAATATGGTTTTATCAGTAGGATTTAAGGTGATTTCATATGTTCACCAGCCTACATTAAAAGGCAAAATGTTTGTTTATATTGTATTTCAACTGAACTTTCTTTTCGATGAAATAAAAATAGCTGTATTTATTTAAAAATCAACACAGTGACAATGCTTCTTATTAACTGAAAAACAAGAATTTAAATCAAAAAGAGGAGTTAATTACCTGAAGAGTGAATGTCCAGTCTCTCTGGATGTGTATACATCTATGTGCTGTGTTTTATAGACTGACTTCACAGCTGTCACAAGCATATATGTAATGTAACCCTGAACCACAAAACCAGTCACATAGGTTAATTTTATGAAATTGAGAAGTATGCATCACCTGAAAGCTGAATAAATAAACTTACCATTGATGTATGGTTTGTTAGGATATAACAATATTTGGCCGAGATACTACTATTTAAAAATGTGGAATCTGACGGTGCAAAAAATTGGAAACATTGAGAAAAACGCCCTTAAAGTTCTCCATTTATGTTTCACGGTTATATATATTTTCAAGGTTTTATTTATTTACGGTAGAAAATTTACAAAATATCTTCATCTTTACTTAAAATAGCTAATGATTTTTGGCATGAAAGAAAAATCGATCATTTTGACCCATACAATGTAATTTTGGCTATATTGCCATAAATATTTTACTAAGTAAAATAATATTTAGTAAACTATTTTAATAAGTAATATAGTAATATATGCTTATTTGGCATACTGTCCGGGGGAGGGCTTCGAGCTTGGATTTTGTCCCCAATACTCCCCCTCCTTAACTGGGGTAGAAATCAGCTCAGAGTGAGGCAAAGGGGTAGTGGAGGGATGCTGTGAAAGTATTGCAGGACAGAGGCGAGGAACAGATATATATATATATATATATATATATATATATATATATATATATATATATATATTGTACCGGCTTCATCTTGCACTGATTTGGTTGATTACACTGATTGGTTGAACGTGCTCCTTCTGAACATTAAAACTTCATTAAGATTGAGCAAGGTGGAGCCAAACTCTGCATCAGACTGTCTCTCTCTCAGAATACTTCCTTTCTAAATAACTGGAAAGAAATTTAACTGAAAAGAAATGGACAGAATATCTGTCAAAAGTGAGCAATTAGCGGCTGGCAGTATGTGCTTATGTCAAGCTATTATCTGTATACAGTGCACTATAAAAAAAAACACTGGAAAAAAATAGAAAATCATAATATCATAATCTTACATTATGAAAGTGCCTGATTTCTTAATTTATTTGTAAAATTTGTTTTTATTGACAAATATATTGCACTGGAATCAAAATCATCAGAAATGTACAAATGCCCATGTGTTGCATGTCTACTTTCTCACAAAGTTATAAATAATTTGCATATGATTCAATAACTCAATCTAGTACTTAGGCAGGAAAGTTTTCCAGTATAGTGCAGAAAAAGAACAGGCTGAACAAAACTTGCCGGAATAAAACAAGTCAGAACAGTGAACCAGTTTGTCTGAGAACTGTCTCATTTCAGAATTTCAGAGAATCCTGTGATTATTGGTGAAACGTGTATAACTATGCTTAGTTATTTTAATAATATTAAATGCCATTCTCTTCATGTGGTTTTCCTCATCGCTCTCTCCCTCTCTCTTCTGGTCCTGACTGCTTCAGAGCTCTGAGAACAGCCACAAGACAAAACAACTGGATGGAGAGGACCAGTATACCATTTGCATCAATGAGAGCTACATAGCCAATGTATCTGTTAGGCAAGTCTAAATTAAACACAAATTAATCTAAGCCACAATGCAGCAGTTTAACGGAATTTGAAGATGTTCTGAATTTCATCCACATGGTGTAAATGATCTGTTATTGTCTGTCTATAACAAAAGCAGCATGAAGTATAGCCTAACACTAAAACATGGACATCAGTTTAAATGTTGTACAATAGCCTACATTATTTTATTTTAACTGACATACTTAATCAAAAGAATTTTTGCATAACATCCCAAATTAATATCTACTTCAACACCACTGCTGTTTTAGCAGTAAAAACATAAAAATAAAAAATAAAAATCAGTTAATTAAAAAAAGCAAACTTGAATGAAATGTTGAAAATATTGCATATTCCACAAAAATGTAAGCCTACTCTATATTTTAAAACAACTGAGACTAGAGTGTATTTACAGAGGAATCACGCTGAATCACAAACAAGTTTGTTACATTTAAAACACATGGACACAGCAAAAGAAAACTTTGGAGGCATCATTAAGCTGCTTTACCTCGCCAGTGTAATGTTCATTCTGGTAAGAAACATGGTCACCCAATCATTTTGAAGACCGAAAGAATTTTCCAGCACTGTGCAGATAAAGAACAGGTTGAACAAAACCAGCCAGCACATAACAAATCAAACCAAAGGACCAAACTGCATTAATAACCTGATGTTTCAGAACGGTAACAAATACTATGATTATATATGGGACGTATATGATAGCCATGCTCACAATAGTAATTAGAATGAGATAAAATGCTCTTCTCTTCATGTGGTTTTCCTCCTTTCTCTCTCTCGCTCTCTCTCCTGGTCCTGACTGCTTCAGAGCTCTGAGAACAGCCACACAGCAGAACAACTGGATGAAGAAGAAGAGGAGGAACTGCACCAAGAACAATAGAAGTTCCATTTCATCAGAAACTAACAGGCACAAAAAACAGCAGCCAAGAACAATGAACCAGACCACAGTGCAGCAGATCACTCTATATCTGAGAGGTTTGTACTTCAGAAAGGTTACAGGATGAACCACTGCCAGGTAACGCTCAACACACATCAGACAATGAAACAAAGGACGACCGGTGAAGAAGAGTCCAGCCAAGAACATTTCAAATCCCGAGAGACTGGTATAACACATTGACAGTACCAAGAACAAATTATTCAGACAAATACCAAGCTCACAAACAGAGAGATTGAAAATGAAGAACTCTGATGCAACTCCACTTCCTGTTCCTGTTACGATGGACCATAGAATATAGGAGTGTATTGGAACACCGAATAACAAACAGATGACATGCCCACAGATTTCCAGACCATCCATTAACTCAAAAGACTGAGTTGTGGAGTTTGTTGTTCCTTCAGTTGTGGTGAAATTCACTGTGGCGTTTTTCATCTTTTCTGTGTTTGTTTTCCTCAGTTCAGCAGCCAGTAAACATAATAATGTACCTCTGATTTATAGGAAAAGAGAAATGCAAAATAAGTTTACTTCCAATCTGTAAGTCTACACATTTTTCAATTTAAACTCAAACATCCAGAGTACATCATTAATTAATCTGCAAAATATACAAAGTTCGAAGCTATAGCCTAAAAAAAAAAAAAAACAACAACAACAAAAAAACTTTCTTTTTTATTTATCTTTCTTAAATGAACTTGAATCAAATTGTTATTTCTTTTCTTTTCTGTTCTAGTAAAATACTCATTAAACTTGCCCAACAAAACCGAATCAACACAGTGGCAAATGTTTCTGCTTATTAATTGTAAAAACATTGGAGTTTGTCACCTGAAGAATGAATGCCCATGCAGTCTCTCTGGATGTATATACATCTCTGTGCTGTGTTTTGTAGACTGTTTGCATGACTTCTTCTGCTGCACGTCACATAAAACATCAGCTATGCAAAACATAATGTCACAAGGTAACAAACCCAGCGGAACCAATTTCCGCTGGGAGTGTGTTTCCCCCCGGGACAATTTCACTGACACACCGTGCTGGTTTTCTTGTTGGCCGTTTCTCAATATGCCTTCTTGTCTGTACTTGTGTTCTTGTGGACTTGTAAAACGTCATCAGTCGCGGCCCAAGTACTGTCCCAATACACAAGTTTGCATTTAGGCAAGAACGGTTAAAAATCCCGGATGTGTTCTTGACACTCCCATTTTACCGAGGATGCATCGGTTGGTAACTTGTGTGAACTTGACGGCAGAAATATCCCATAATTCATTTCGGCATTTGCGGAAGGAGCGGGAAGCAGAGAGAGGCAGGTTAAAAGTTACCTGAATATTACTGGCGTTTTTTCCCGCCGTTGGCTAGTGATGTACACAAACAAACAACAGAAGCAGAATTAAAATGAGACAGGTGTTGCTTTATTGTTGTGAATATACATTACATTGTTGTGTATGTAGAGTAATCCCTTAGGCTTGGGCGATAAAGCCTGGCTGTATAATAATTCTCGTTATGTTTGGGTATTGCAGACGGCGTCTGTGCGGGGGTAGCCTACTATTGCGCAATACCAGCAAGAACACATCGTCTCAAACTCTCAGCAGCGTTCTGTGTGCTCGTCATCTCGTGAGTTTGTTCTTTCAAGAACAACTAGCAAGAGCTTTCTTCCCAAGAACACAAGTCCATTCTTTGCATTCTTGGTTTTGAGAAACGGCCGTTGTCAGTTTCCATGACAGCTGATGAGCTAAGCTGTACCAGGTGCAGTGTGTTTGGTGTGAGGGTTTGTGATTGGGAGACATGGCCTAATGAAGCAGTTAAAAGGCAAAGAAAGAGGCATTCAAGCGCGGTACTCCCCCGGGAGAAATCTTTTCTTTGGCAGTGGCTTGAATTTGCTGGGATTGTTGGAGTGGCTGTGAGGATCTGGCTGGAAAAGGGGTGCAACGGTGATTGTGAGAATACAAGCTGGAGACGTGAAAACGGATGTGAAGTGAGTGAATTGTGGAGATTGAGTCAAGACTGGAGAACGTTATCAATCTAGAGAGGAAGATAAGTAATGAAACACCGGATCTGTGTGAATGCATGCCTTGCACTGAATTGAATAAGGGATTGTGAAGTGTATTGACCACAAGTATAATTTGTCACTTAGTGTGAATTGAGTCATCATTGAAATTCTGATATATTCTTCTGAGTGTGAGTATTGAAGACGCTGTTTCCCATGCCATGAGAAGTCATCTGCATGAGTGTTGATTCAGCATAACAGTGGAAGGATTGATCACTGGGTGAGTGCTGGCCTTATTGCACTGAGATTTGAGAGTGGATATGCAGTGCCTGAATTGAAGTGTCACACAGTATTGGACTTGACGTGAAGTTGCAGTGCGTGGATGCACGTTTATTTAACCGCCAGTATTTCCCCAGTTCACATTCTGGCCCAGTGTTTGCAGAACGAAGCCCTCAGTGTTGAATGTGTATGTTCCACTCCGGCCACAAACTCCTAATGATACTGAAGAGGAGTGTGATTGCCCTGATTAACTTGTTCTGTCTATTTAAATAGAAGATCCTTCTGCCACTGCCTTCTTGTGTGCTGCCTGTACGGAGAAGAGACACACCCCAGCCTCAGTCCTGCTTGTTCAGAACTACCCGCTCCAGCTGACCTTACACCTGCTGCCCAGCCAACCCGGTCTCATCCCAAGACGTCATATAACTGACGTTTAGGGACGTCTTTTGACCATACGTCAATATTCGCCTTTTTAGGGCCCCCTTAAACGTCGGTAGATGAGGTTATGGGATCCTAACTCTACCCCAGACCTAAACCTAACCCTAAACCTAACCCGTCACCTAACTGACGTTAAAGGTAAAGCGTCAGTTGTATGACGGCCCGGGATCGCCATCTACCGATGTTTAAGGGGGCCCTAAAAAGGCGGATATTGACGTATGGTCAAAAGACGTCCCAAAACGTCAGTTATATGACTTTTGGGATGAGACTGTGTTAGCCTAGCGACGCTACGGGAGAGCACTCTACACGAAGGAGACATACGTACCCAGCTAGCGACCTGGCTGGCAGCGAGTCCCCCTCCTGGACCCATCGCCCCCTGTGCCGACCACCTACCGTATAGTTGCCGCTTGAAACAAAACTTGGACCGTCCGTTGAAACCTAACCGTCACTGGAGTTAATGGCATTTATGACTGTTCCCTTACCATCCTAGGAAAGAAAAACATAGCTCCCCAGATGTAGATCTACATTTTGTTTTGTTTTGGTCGGACATTTGACGGCGTGTACGGACACGCGGAATGACGCGGATGTTAATGGCGTAGACAAACACGCATACAGTACACGCGGATAGCTCAAAATGCGTCGAGATAACACGCCACTTGACTCGAAATTGGCGTGTATGTTTACGCAAAAGTCATGATGTCATGTTGATTGTTTTGAGTTTTGTCTAAACTTGATTTAATTTTGTTTAAACAACTTGAGTTGTTTTGTTTTGAGTAAATGTATTTGTTATTTTGGTTTATGAATGTGTACTTTTGTTTTACAAGTGTAGAATCTTCAACACAGTCTCATGAAGATCCGTATCTATACCACGAGTGTCATTTCTCGTGGCATTTATACGCCAAAAGTGTTTTTTTCGTGTATATGGTACGCACTAAAAAACCCTGGGTTAGGTTTAGGGGGGAGGGGGGTGGGGAGTTCGTGCGTATTATACTCAAAAAAGTGCGTATCATATGTACGTGAAAATCGCGTGCCAAATACACGCAAAAACTGTTTTTGGCGTATAAATGCCACGAGAAATGACATTCGTGCCATAGATACGAACTTTCATGAGATCGGGCTGAGAATCTTTTGTATGTCAGTGGTTTGTGTATTTTCTTTCCATTGTTTCATTGGATCGCTGAATGGGAGGTGTTGGCCATGGTTATAATTTGATTTTGTGTGTTTGCACGTACTGCGTTTAATACTTTATCACTGTGTGTGCGTGTGTACAGCCATGGGATATACCATTAATCGAAGAGAGAGATACCAATTTGTTAACACAAAAAAACATTCAAAAATCCCTTTAAACACATGCAGTACATGCACTGTAAAATCTAACATTGTTCTTACTAAGAAAGTTTTGTTAACTATACTTAAAGTCCAGTAATTTGTTGAACTTACTTACAATTTCTTAGTAATCTGTACTGTTTGCATGTTATGCTTTCGTTACTCAGAAAAACCTTGTAAACATTACTTGACTGGTTTGAGTACCATTTTGCCCCCTAAAAAAAAAAAAAAAAAAAAAAAAACCTTTCTTCCACTTCTGAATTCATAATTCTTCTTATTTGCATTCACTCATTTTCCAGTCATCTTGAGTGTTATTGTCAATACACCTAAATATTTTTGGGAGAACATCAAAATTCTTTAGTTGACTTGTTGATTTCCCTTTTCTCACCATTATTGTGATTGATGTTCCCTTTGGTTGGGCACTTGGAACTTAATTTATATTATTGTAATTCTCTTCCAATTGATTGCAGTGATGCAACATGAAATCACAATTATTTGATTTCAAAGGAAGTGAAGTAATTTATATACATACACACACTTAAGTTAATTCATTAATTATATATAACATAAATATATTTAATGTATAATAATGATCATTTAACATTTTATTGCTAACGCTTATTATATGGCATATCAACGCATTCTCACCCCAAGGCGTCACCTTTGACCATGCTTCAATATTTGACATTTTAGGCGCCCTTTAGCGTCACTTACATGACGCGATCCTACGGCGTCATCTAACTGACGCTAAAGGAAAGCGTCTGTTAGAGGACGCGGTTAGGTTTAGGTATGGGGTGGGGGTAGGGTACACGCGATCCTAGGGCGTCATCTAACTGACGCTAAAGGGCGCCTAAAGCGTCAGATATTGAAGCATGTCCAAATGCTTCCCAAGGCGTCAGTTAGGTGACGCCTTGGGAGTGAGAATGGGCTGGGCATATATCTTGGGTTTGATATAATCCCTCTATATTTGTGATATCTTGCAATTTTGCTTGAGTCACACACAGACTTCAACATTCAGCATGCAAACCACAACTGTGGTAACATTTAAAAAAAATAAATCATTTAATTAATTAGACATTACAATTTTATTTGCTGTCTCTTTTCAGTATTTTTATACTCTTTTCAGTACTTGTATATTTAAGTTCAGTAATTTCACTTAAATAACAATTAATAGGACAATTTTCATTGTCATTTAAGTGAAATTACTGAACTTAAATATACAAGTTTGATAAAAATCATCATTAAAGAAGAAAATTTCAAATGGCATTTAGAGGCTTTTGCATCTGAACTCTTCAAGTCTTTACTGTCATTTTTTTTATCAATTTAGCACATTCTTGCTGAATAAAAGTAAAAATTACTAACCCCAAACTTTTCATATTGGTACAAAATATTTATATTTTAAATAGATACTGTTCTCTTTTTAACTTGGAATCCTGAAAAAAAGTATGAGGTTAAGTATTACAATAGAAAACAATTATTTCAAATTGTAGTAATATTTCACAATACTGTATAACTTTTTTCTGTATTTTAGATCAAATAATTGCAGTTTCATGCGGCATAAATGGCACTCTAGTAATTCTATGCAATTTTCTTTTTCTTTTTTTTTCTTTTTTTGGATCAATGCTCTGTGTGAAAGGGGCTTAATGGGTGTTGTGTTCATAAGTGAAATTGTGTTGTAGACTACTATTTTGTAACTAAAAGTTAGCCTGAACTGTTGTGTAATGACATATGTTATAACGGAAGTGAAGATAGTTGATAGTGACAGATACCACAATGGGTCACAACTAGAATTTGGAAATGATATTGAGCTGCTTTAATCTGCCAGAGTAATGATGATTGAGGTGTCAAATAATTTTCCCAAAGCAATAAACATTACAGATAAGCAAAGGTCACCATCTTAATCTAATCTAAAATGTCACAGTTGCAAATATTATGGCAGAGGCAGGAGAGTTTTCCCATACGTTGCAAATAAAGAACAGGGTGAACAAAACCAGTCAGCCCAAAACAAATCACTGAATGAGCCCAAACTTCCTGAATATAGCGTTTTGTCGCATTGGTAAATAATGCTGAAATAGTAATCGGCACATATATGATGACCATGTTCACTGTTGTTATTAGAATGAGATAAAATGCTCTTTTCTTCATGTTATTTTTCTCCTTTCTCTCTCTTCCTGTCTCTCCTGGTCCTGACTGCTTCAGAGCTCTGAGAACAGCCACACAGCAGAACAACTGGATGAAGAAGAAGAGGAGGAACTGCTGCGAGATGAACCATGTATGTGCATAAATGTTGAATGAAGTTAAAATGAACATAGAGCACAAACAAGAACCTAGAGTGGTTATCCAGGCCACAGTGCAGCAGATCTGAGAGGTTTGTACTTCAGAAAGGTTACAGGATGAACCACTGCCAGGTAACACTCAACACAGACCAGACACTGAAACAGAGGACGACCGGTGACAGCTAGTCCTGTTATTAATACTTTTAGTGTCAAGAAACCTGAAAACCAAATTAAAAGTACAAGTAACAAACCATTCAAACAGTTTCCAATCTCAGAAATGGAGAGATTGAGGATGAGGAACTCTGATGCAACTCCACTTCCTGCTCCTGTGATGATGCGCCATATAACATAGGAGTGTGTAGGAAGACCAAACAGGAAATTGATGCTGTACACACAGATTTCCAGACTTTTCATGGGCCAAATGGATTGAGTTGTGGAGTTTGTAGATGCTTGGGGTGCGGTAATGTTCACTGAGTTATTCATCTCTAGGTTTGTCTTTTAATTTTAATGGTTCATAAAAAACTTATTTCGTGATCTACACAAAGAGATAAGAGTTATTGAACCAGATCTGTAAAAAAAAAGAAGAAAAAAATCAATATTTCCAGATTATACATTTCAGTCTGTAAATGCTCCCAGTTTAAATCTGAATAGAGTCACATCATTATTATGAAAAATAGATTGTTTAACAAAGCAGTATTTGCAGGCTACATTCAACTGCAAAATCACATTTTTATAATATGAATTTAATGAACTGAAGAAATTGAATCATGAATGAATGAATATAAACTGTTAGTTCCCTTTCAGTCGAGAACGTCAGACGTAGTCGATGTCGACTGAATGGGGATCAAGCTAGGGAGCCCCATTCAGTCGACGTGAACTACGCCTGATGTTCTCGACTGAAAGGGAACGTCCTGGTTGCGTATGCAACCCACCGTTCCCTGAAGGAGGAAACGGTGGGTTGCATACACAACCTGGGGTGTGTTTCCCGTACAATGACGTAGTTCGCTGATTCACCACGATGCATCGTTGGAAAAATCAACTACGACTGTTTCCCGAAACCGACTGTCGCAAAGTATCGTTCAACCATGTTGGTTTCGCACGTGGTGGAGTAATAACTACTTTTAATGAAACTGTTTGAGATCCAATTAACGCTAGATTTGTTTTATATAAATTACAGACATGTCATCTGAGGACTATTTCTAATTGTTCTCAGTTGTTTTGCTTTATTACCAGACTCAATATTTAGCTCGTTCTTACATAGTAGAGCACGTTCGCACATGCGCACTCTTCAAACACGTTACTTTAAATCTTTTGAAAAACTAAAAGACGTAAATTCCATTTCTATTTATTCTAAATAAAAGACACCGGTTGTACTGAATGTCAGCTTGCTTATTTTGCTCAAGATAAGGATTTATTACCTCCAAATGTCATGCAATATAGAAACGATGCCTCTAACCACAGGTCGAGAACTGTTGTTCAAACCACACAACTTTGCGATGCTGTTTGCGATTGTTTGTTGGAACGATGGTTTCGGGAAACACCGACTCTATGCTGATAACGAGGGAACTTGCGACCAGTTGGCTAACGATGCTTTCGGGAAACGCACCCCAGGGCGGTTACAGTATCTTCAATGAAACAAAGCTCAGCATTTTATTCAGTGGACAAAGTATTAACTCCATCCCAAATATTTGGACATTATCAGATAAACACAGTGACACTGTTGCTTATTATTAAGGGTATAAACAAGAAGAATCAAAAAGAGAAGTTTATCACCTGAAGAGTGAATGTCCAGTCTGTCTGGATGTGTATAAATCTCTGTGCTGTGTTTTAAGTTCACAGCTGCCACAAGAATATATCTGCATGACTTCATCTGCTGTGCATCACATTAAACATCATATACGCAAATATACGACAACAAAATTCAAGCAATTTTTTACACATTTATCGAGTGACCCTGAACTTCAAAATATAATTTTCATATGATACAAAATACAATGGTGAGTTTTCAGTTTTCCCAAACAATCTTTATAAATAATGAGATGGAAAATTGAGGCTTGGTTACTGATGAAGTGATTTATTGGAAAAACTAATAGCAACCACTCATTTTATTAATAGGATATGAGGTTTCATGCACTCATGCTGGGGCTATCTGAATGACCTTAAATAAGTTCAAAAATCACAGAACTTCTGCTAGACATTTTCTAGAAGTCAAAGTGCACATGTAAGTGAAGTTGTGTTTTAAAGGTATCAAGCTGATATAAGTACATTTGAGTACAAACTAATCCCTAGACTTGAAGAGTAAAATAATATCATAAGCAGGTTTTATGGAGAAATCATTCTATTTCAAAATGGCAATGGTTCGCCACTGATAAAGTGATTCCATAAACCAGTGTCTTATTATTTAACTGATCTTGGGTCAGTTTCAATAACGACAAATGTGTGAATAATGGAAATGGAGGAAGATCTAGTAATTTTCTAGGACACATAAAACAAGTATAGACTAATAAAGAACGTCCTGGTTGTGTATGCAACCCACCGTTCCCTGAAGGAGGGAACGGAGGACGTAGTCGACGGTCGACTGAAAGGGAACCCTGGCTTTACAATGCATTTGCTTTATATTTAGGGGTATATTACAATAAATACATTACACTTTCATGAAAACATTATAATATATTGGTTGTAATATATTTTATCATTTTATATTATGTGTTTGTGGTATAAAATGTTGCACTTTGGAAATTATGATGGGATTTTCACAACAAAAACTCTTAGGATTAAACAATCTGAATTATTATCTGAATTATCTGAATAATCTGAATTATTCAGATAAATACTGTGACATTTTTTAATATTAAGGATATAAACCAAAAACAAAATTAGTTTGTCACCTGAAAAGTGAATGTCCCCTCTCGGATTAAATGTCTGTGCTGTGTTTGTAAACTGACTTCACAGTCGTCACAAGGATGTCAATGCATGACTTCATCTGTTTCATGCAAATATTTAAAGTAAAAAAAAAATATATATATATATATATATATATATATATATATATATATATATATATAATGACAATAAAAAGTCTGAGTAAACTTATTAAATGAAGTTCACTTTTATGTGGAAAATGTTAATCTGGAAGTTTGTGATGGACCAGTCAGAATAAAGTATTCCAGTGTGCCGCATTATATTGTTATATGTTTGTTGGTTCTATACAAGAAATTATAGCAAATTCAAATGAATTTTTGCAGACTGATTATTCAATCTTCAAAAATACAAACAGGTGCAACTCATTTTTAGACTGAATATTAGAGTAGAGAGAGAGAAAGAGAGTGAGTGCAAAAGGTGACTGATTAAATGTTTTATTGGATAAACAAACACACTGATATCAAACAACCATATTTAATTAATACACTCAGAATAAGCTAGATCTATGTGTACATAAACAGGGAAATTAAAGATTTGTAGTCACGTGAACTGACAATCAACTGACAATTTTTTAAATATAACTTAATTTAAAGACCAGAGCAAATACCAAGAGGAAAGAGACACTTCAGCTGATAATACAAAACAAAATGGCCCATACACTACTAAGAAAAATGTAAAAATTTAAACAATGTGTAGTCATTTTTTGTCAGTTTACAACGCATTCTCACCCCAAGGCGTCACCTTTGACCATGCTTCAATATTTGACGTTTTAGGCGCCCTTTAGCGTCACTTACATGATGCGATCCTACGGCGTCATCTAACTGACGCTAAAGGAAAGCGTCAGTTAGAGGACGCGGTTAGATTTAGGTGTGGGGTGGGGGTAGGGTACACGCGATCCTAGGGCGTCAACTAACTGACGCTAAAGGGCGCCTAAAGCGTCAGATATTGAAGCATGTCCAAATGCTTCCCAAGGCGTCAGTTAAGTGACGCCTTGGGGGTGAGAATGGGCTGCAGTTTATGAGGAACAGAAGCCAGAGAGTTTTCCAGAGCGGTGCAGATAAAGAACAGGCTGAACAAAACTAGCTAGAACAAAACAAACCAAACCAGGAGCCCAATATGTCCAGTGATACCCATTCATCAGAATTACAAATACTCCTGAGATAATAATTGGGATATATGTGAAAACTATGTTCACAGTAGTTATTAGAATAATATGAAACGCTCTTCTCTTCATGTGGTTTTCTTCCTTTCTCTCTCTCCCTCTCTCTCCTGGTCCTGACTGCTTCAGAGCTCTGAGAACAGCCACAAGACAAAACAACTGGATGGAGAGGAAGAGGAGGAACTGCATTAAGAAGAACCATGTATGTGCATTAACATTATTTAACATTAATGTGATCATGCAGACCAAACAGGAGCAAAGAATAATTATCCAGGCCACAGTGCAGCAGATCACTCTATATCTGAGAGGTTTGTACTTCAGAAAGGTTACAGGATGAACCACTGCCAGGTAACGCTCAACACACATCAGACACTGAAACAGAGGACGACCAGCAATGGAAAGTCCTTGCAAAAACAGAGCTAATGGCCCAAGAACTGAAATCCAATTAAGCAGTAAAAAAACCAACAAATCCAGACAGTTACCAATCTCACAAACAGACAGATTGAAGATGAAGATCTCTGATGCAACTCCACTTCCTGTTCCTGTGATGATGAGCCATGCAATATAGGAGTGTGTAGGAAGACCAAACAAGAAATTGATGCTGAACACACACATTTCCAGATACCCCACTAGAAATATAGAAGGTGTTGTGGAGTTGGTGGAAGCTCCTGGTGTGGTGGAGTTCATTTCCTCCTCGTTTGTCCCACAAAACATAATTAGTATTGCTATAAGAATAGAGAATTATAAACTTGGGGTGACTCAGACGACAGTTCAATGTAAGCTAGATCAAATATTACTTAAAAACATTTCCAGTCTACCCTAGCAATTCAACACAGTATACAGTTAAAAAATCAGTAATTTTTATACTGATAATTTAATACATTGTAGTACGTTTACATCATGCACTCTTAAAAAATAAACAGCGATTCAATAGAAGAACCATTTTACTTCTCCAAATAACTCTTTGTGAAAAGTTCCTAAAATAACAATTTTTAAAGAACATTTTAAAAATCTAAAGAAGCTTTTTTTGCACTTGAAATGTTGCATGTTAAAGGTTCTTCATGAAATCACAGATGCTAATAACTAATCTTTATTTTTAAAAGTGTACCCTAATGTCAAGTAAATTATTAATTCAGTTTGATGAAACAAATAGAGATCTGTTCTACTCAATTGATCCATCCAACATGCACATTACCCTTTTACTATGACTGATAACCACAGCAACATTGTCATATATCACTCAGAAGTAAAAAGAAAAATAAGCCAATTTAAAAGAGAAGTTTATCACCTGAAGACTGAATGTACAGTCTCTCTGGATGTGTATAAATCTCTGTGTTGTGTTTTATGGACTGACTTCATCTGTTACATATGTGCATGATTTAATCTGCTATATACATACAGTATCAGATATACAAATCTTAAAAGTAAAAAGTTTTTAAAAATATCTTTAAAAAAATACTTGTGTTGGATACTTTAATTTTATTCCTAAAAAATTGAATTCAATCATTCATTCATTCCCAAAATAACATTTATAAAATTGTTTCTTCTGTTCAATTAAACAAAAAAAGCTCAATATCATTTTATTCAATTGTAAACTTTCCTCAGAACTTACTTTGGACTTTTTCAGATAAATACTGTGACATTTTCTAACACTAAGGATTAAAAAAAAAATAGTTTGTCACCTGAAAAGTGAATGCCCCGTATCGGATGTAAGTGTCTGTGCTGTGTTTAGACTGACTTCACGGGATGTCAATGCATTCATCTGTTTCATGCCGCAGAAAACATGCAAATATTTAAAGTAAAAAACAAACACACACACACACACACACACACACACACACACACACAAACAGAGTCTGGGTAAATTTATCAACAGAAATGAACTTTTATATGAAAACAAAATGTTAATCTGGAAGCTTGTGATTGACCAGCCAGAATAAAGTACTCCAGTGTGCCGCATAATATTGTTTTGTTTTTGCAGACTGAATATTCAGTGTTTGTACATTTAAACTAGACATCACATGCAGGTTGAACTTGTTCATTTTTAGACTATAGACTATTTAAGAGAGCAAAAAAAAAAAAGAATGAGAGAGCAAGATGCTGTAGATAAATAAATAATAAATATGGTGGGGTGGGGAGGGGGTGCAAAACATGATATCAATCAACCATATTTTTTTTAACACACTCAAGATTTATGTGTAAATAAACAGGGAAATTAAAGATTTGTATATATCATTTTAAATATAACTTAATTTAAAAAAAAAATAAATAACAGAGCAAACACCAAGAGGAAAGAGACATTTAAGTTGATAATACAAAACAAAATGACCCATTCACTACTAAGAAAAATGTTAGAATGTGTAGTCATTTTTTGTCAGTTTATGAGGAACAGAAGCCGAAAAGTTTTCCAGTGCGGTGCAGATAAAGAACAGGCTGAACATAACTGGCCAGAACAAAACAAACCAAACCAGGAGCCCAATATGTCCAGTGATACCTGTTCATCAGAATTACAAATATTTCTGCGATAATAATTGGCAAATGTGCGAAAACTATGTTCACAGTAGTTATTAGAATAATATAAAACGCTCTTCTCTTCATGTGGTTTTCCTCCTCTCTCTCCCTCCCTCTCTCTCCAGGTCCTGACTGCTTCAGAGCTCTGAGAACAGCCACAAGACAAAACAACTGGATGGAGAAGAAGAGGAGGAACTGCATCAATAAGAACCATGCATGTAGAGTCACTGTAAATAACAAATATATGATCATGCAGCACAAACAGGATCCAAGAGTGATTATCCAGGCCACAGTGCCGCAGATCACTCTATATCTGAGAGGTTTGAACTTCAGAAAGGTTACAGGATGAACCACTGCCAGGTAACGCTCAACACACATAATACACTGAAACAGAGGACGACCAGTCATCCCACATCCTTGTATTAAAACTGCTAATGGCAAGAGACTTGAAATATATTTTGACAATATATAGAAAAGAAAATCCACACAGATACAAATCTCACAACAAAAGAGATTGAGCTGGAAGAACTCTGATGCAACTCCACGTCCCGATCCTTTGACGATGAGCCATATAACATAGGAGTGTGTAGGAGGACCAAACAAGAGACTGATGCAGAAAATCCAAATTTCTATGTTGTCCGCTTCCCAGATTCCATTTGTTCCAGATCCCATTGTAGAGTTGGTGGAAGCTCCTGTTGTGATGGAGTTCATGTCCTTCTTGTTTGTCTGTGCAGGAGCTTACAAAACATAACTGATATAGTGGTAATAGAGGAGAGAATGATAAATGTACTGCTTTATTTAGACTGCAATTCAACATGAGCATGATAAGAAATGACATTAAATATATGCAATATGTGTTTCTAATTTCAGAATAACAAATCATTTCAAATCATACACGGTTGCTTTACAAATAATCCTTATCCTGTAACTAATTAAATAATTCAAAAAATAATCCTATAACTTTTGGGTAATTCATGGTTCTGAACAACATAGGCCCACCACCGTATTCGTGGAAATGTTACTGCAAGTATTTTGACCATTTTATCATCTTTTATATGCTGTGTCCTTCTGATCCTTGATGATCGTCAGATGAGGAAAATGTAACTTTGTTATGTGGACATTTATTGTAGTCTACACATTTTTTAGTGTATAATGCATAAGTCAGCTCATTTGAAATAGATTTTTTTTTTTTTTGCAGTTTGATAGAATGTACTCCCACGCCATTGAGGAAAAAAAGTAAAATGTAGAATCTATGAATCTATGTAGTAGGAGAGTGAGCAGGACAGGGTTAAAAGTGTATAGTATAAATATATATTTCTTTGGTTCATAATTAATATATATATATACTATATATATATATGAATGAAGAGTTCAGATGCAAAAGCCTCTAAGTGCCATTTGAAATTTTCTTCTAAAATTATCATTTTTATCAAGCTTGTATATTTAAGTTCAGTAATTTCACTTAAATGGCAAAGAAGATTACCTATTAATTGTCATTTAAGTGAAATTACTTAACTTAAATATACAAGCTTGATAAAAATGGTCATTTTAGAAGAAAATTTCAAATGGCATTTAGAGGCTTTTGCATCTGAACTCTTATACCCTTCAGCTTGTAATTATTACAGAGCAAAAATTAGCAAAGTTTTATAATAATTACTAATGTTCATTATGTTATTTTGAGTTGACAACTAAGCCATCTAACATGACCATAAACCCCTTTAATATGACTTACAACCATGTGACAAATATAAAAATGAATCTTAATTTAAAAGATGAGTTTATCACCTGAAGAGTGAATGTCCAGTCTCTCTGTATGTATATAGGCTATGTGCTGTGTCTTGTAGAATAACTTCACAACTGTCAAAAGAATACCTTATGTGTATGACTTCATCGGGTACATGTCATGTACAACATGCAAATGTTTAGAGAGATCCATTTGTAAACCCAAAGGACATATGGTATAGGCCTATTTGGAACATGCTTGTTAAAATCTTTGGGATTTTTATATTGTGGTGCACTTAAATGACTAGGCAAGGCATGCGTTTTACTGCTTTATAAGTGAGAACTGCGCATAACACAAGAGCTCAACATGAGGGTATTACAGGCTCTCTTTTTTATACAACATACACAGACAACACACAAGTTAACAACGACAAGTTTCCAGGGACAACTTTAATGCACATATTAATAGTATTAAACACACCACACTACCTCCCCTTTAAAATTAAAGGTAATCTTCACATAGTGCATAAACATGTAACACCAACTTAAAACTACACTTCTTACACAGAATAGTGATTTCACTCAGGTAAATACAATGACCGGCATATTTATCAAAGAATTTGACTCAACCCTCTTAACTGAACAAGTCCCATACTATATTCAATCTCTGTAACGTGACGGCCGTTTAGTCATGCGTTCCGAGCGCCTCAAAGTCACTGTCTCTGGATAAGGTAGCCTGGGCTGGTCCAACGTAAAATGTGGTGGGGCAGGTGCTGTGGAGACTGGCACAGCAAGGTCACTCTCCTGCTCATTGGTTATTATGGAGGACCCTTCTCATCCCTTACATTCTAAATTCCAGTTGTTACCATCAAGAACACATTTTAGACAACCCCAGGCGAGTAAAAAAAATCAGTACCAGATGTCATTTGAGCCAACTGCCAATATAAATTTAGATGTTGAGAAGATATGAATATGAGTTGGTGTGGAAATATATGCATTGATTGTATATGTGCATGTGGGAATGTTATCATTTTAATTGTTTTATATTTATGTATATTGTTATGCTGTGTCGGTGTCCTTGTGGGGTGTATAGTGAAGCCAAAGACAAATTTCCACTTGTGAACAATAAAGGCCAACAAAGCTTAGTCCAGATGGCCATGGTATTGCTGTATATTGTTCTTGGGGGAAAACTTTCAAATTCAAATGAGTTTGTCAACTAAAAAGTGCATGTCAAGTCTTTCTGGATGCATTTAAATCTGCGCTTATTTCACAGCTGTCACTAAGATATATTTTCATGAGTCAGATAGCTGTCTGAGTAAACATTTGAAACATTTGCATAGAAAATGTTCTATTTGTGTAGAAAGTTGAGTTGATTTATAGACATGAGATGTTTACATGCATGTAAAAAAATTCAAATTTAAAATACATGCTAACAATTGTTAATTACTCATTTAATTCACTAAATATACTTGAAGATAAAGATACAAACTCCATTTATAGATTTGGCTTGAGTGTTTAAGTGTTTGGGGAGTCGATGTTTTGTGAAGAATGTGATGCAGGTAAGGATGATGTCAATTTTACATTGTCCTTTGAAAAAAGATTCTGTTCTTTATCAAGTTGTTGGTCTGCTGTGACAGAAATATGAAATATTATGAAACTCTTGTATTCACAACAGTAGTCTATGAAAACATCCGACATAAGTGAAACAGGTGACACTGTGTTAGAGATAAATGATAAATTATTTTATTTTGAAAACTTACAATTACAGTATTGTAAGTATATGTAATTCGTTACTTCACACCACTGCAAATGACTGATCAAGGATATTTATATCATCACACTTTTCACTTTTTTATAGACACAGATACAAACTCTTGGCTATTTCCACTTTTAGTGCATGCAGGGAAAAGAGATATCTGATCTAATGTTATTCAAACAATTGATTATACTTTATGGGGTAAGTTGTCACAAATCTTCCATTAAACCAACCCAGTCTCATCCCAAGACATCATATAACTGACGTTTTGGGACGTCTTTTGACCATACGTCAATATTCGCCTTTTTAGGGCCCCCTTAAACGTCGGTAGATGAGGTTATGGGATCCTAACTCTACCCCAAACCAAACCCTAAACCTAACCCGTCACCTTACTGACGTTAAAGGTAAAGCGTCAGTTGTATGACGGCCCGGGATCGCCATCTACCGACGTTTAAGGGGGCCCTAAAAAGGCGAATATTGACGTATGGTCAAAATACGTCCCAAAACGTCAGTTATATGACTTTTTGGGATGAGACTGTGTTAATTAACAGCCCATTCTCAACAGCCCGTCACCTAACTGACGCCTTGGGAAGCATTTGGACATGCTTCAATATCTGACGCTTTAGGCGCCCTTTAGCGTCAGTAAGATGACGCCCTAGGATCGCGTGTACCCTACCCCCACCCCACACCTAAACCTAACCGCGTCCTCTAACTGACGCTTTCCTTTAGCGTCAGTTAGATGACGCCGTAGGATCGCGTCATTTAAGTGACGCTGAAGGGCGCCTAAAACGTCAAATATTGAAGCATGGTCAAAGGTGACGCCTTGGGGTGAGAATGCGTTGCAATTAAACAGCCTAGTATGGGATTTTCAGTAGAGTTTAATCAGTAAAACCTTTATAAAGCATGAAAAATCCACAGCAAAAAATATAATTTGTAACATATTGACATTATTGAAATGTTTTAAAGGAGTGAGAGGAATTAGGGATGTTTGAAGAAGGGCAGTTTCCCAACTCGCCGGAGAAAAAGAAAAGCAGGTACAAAACCACCCAACACAAAACAAGACAAGCTAAACACACTCATTTCCTTAACATCTTTTTGTAAAAGAATATTGAGGAATCTTGAGATCATAAAAGGAACAATTATAGTTAGCATAGTCACAGTCAATATTACAATGATCTTAAACGCTCGTCTCCTCATGTAGTTTTCTTCCTTTCTCTCTCTCCCTCTCTCTCCTGGTCCTGGCTGCTTCAGAGCTCTGAGAACAGCCACAAGACAAAACAACTGGATGGAGAGGAAGAGGAGGAACTGCAGGAGTGAAAACCACATGAAAATGTTGCCTGACTCTAAAATTAACATGAGCAAAAAGCAGGATCCAAGGCCTATTATCCAGACAACAGTGCAGAAGATCACTCTATATCTGAGAGGTTTGTACTTAAGAAAGGTTACAGGATGAACCACTGCCAGGTAACGCTCAACACACATCAGACACTGAAACAGAGGACGGATGGTGATGATGTTTCCTGTTAAAATCCTCAATATAATCAAGGACACTGATTCTTGGTAAGTTGTTCTAATTTCCTTATGCAAATAAATCAAAGCAAACAGACAGTAAATCATCTCACAAACAGAGAGATTGAGCATAAATAACTCTGATGCAACTCCGTTTCCTGTTCCTGTTACGATAAGCCATATAACATAGGAGTGTGTAGGAAGACCAAACACAAGACTGAAGATCATCACACAAATCATCATTGTGTCCATCGGTGTATTTTCACATGCAGTGAGGTTAGTCGATGGAAAAACCTCAAATGTGGGATCCACAGCAGAGTAGTTCATCTCTTTATACTTTCCTCTAAATACACATTCTTTTAATTAGTATCAAATGTTGTTATGAAACGTCATTAATGTTCACACACACATATAGGTTTGTACATATAAGCATGTTTTACTGCCTAATTAGATTGTGTAAAATGGCTTTGTAATATGAATGAAAACTGTTTAACTGTTAATAAATGTCTTTTTTAATGATTTAATATTTAATTTCAAAATAAATTGAAATATAAAAGAGTTTTAATGGTAGTTTATTACCTTGACGAGTCAATTTCCAGTAATTCTTCAAAAATCAAGTCCCATTTTATATAATACAACAGTAACTTTTAACATACAGTATTTAACTTTTGAGAGATGACTAAATGAAAATACTTAAAAAAACTTCAACTGGTAAAATTTCCAG